GCGGCCCGAGTCGCATAAAATGTGTATAAATATATCAATTTCCTAGCTTAAGAAGTATGCAGCAAAAATTCAAATGTTATTTTCTACAACTTATGTGTGTGAATAGTTTTTCCTGCAATGAATTTAGTAAAAATTAAAACGAGAAACCGGCTAACAGACTCACCTCGAAACTAATTTAAAACTAGCAGTGACTAATATTTAATCAAATATTTTTGATACATTACGTTTACATCAGTTCTAGAAGCTAAATTAAGTATACCTATTCTATTTTATAATTATATATGAATAAATAATTGTGATTTACCGGCATTTCCTCCCCTCTTTTATCTTGTACATGGCCGGCGTTAGTTCAAAAGTTTTGAAATGCAGCCCTTACACAGAAAAAGGTTGCCCATCCCTGGTCTAAGTGGAGAGGGGGAGGGAGGTGTGAAATACATACTAAGTTTAGATAGAAAAGAAAAGCCACAATTTAATTTAAAACACGAAGAAAAGGTACTTACATTTTAAACAGAAGAAAAATTGAAACTCAACGTTGTCACTTTCGGGGACCACCACTTCACTCTACTTCTCTCTACTGTGTCCCAACCTACTCTCTCTGTCCCTTCTTTTTTTTCGGTTTTACGACCCTTTGTCTACATTTCTTATTCCCCTTTTACAACTGTACGCAAATGTATTGCACATGGACCGACAAAACCACATCTGAGGGAGAACGAGGAGGTCCGATATCACTACAGTTGCGTTTGCACGTTACGTTCACGCGTTGCGTTTGGTTACAACTTACAAGTGTAACATATTAAGTCAAGACATCGCAAGCGATCGACCAAAATTGGTTTTGCGATCGACTTGTTGGCCACCCCTGGCTATATACTCACTATCATGGAACATGATAAAATGATTCTGAAATGGCTCAATGAGGAGTCTGGGGAAGAAAATGTAGGCTCCTTCATCACAGACAATGAGAGTGAGGATCTCCATATGAAAATCCAGGAAGTGTTGAGAAAGAAGCCAGATCCTTCACAGGCAACATCAGTAGGAAGAGAAAAGTGTGCATATTGCCCAAAAAAATAATAGGAAAACAGCATCCAGGTGTATAACATTTACTGCACTGATCTGTAGATACCAAATAATAACAATCTGCAAACAGTACCAGGCTATTCAAGTTCTGAATCTAAATAGATTCAGAACTTGAATAGTTCAGATATCATACAGTGGTACCTCGGTATATGTCTTCTTTAGAATATGTCCAATTCAGAATACGTCCTGTTTGGAGGAAACAAATTTTGATCGGTATATGACTTACCGGGTAATTCAATTATACGCGCCATCTATGAACAAGTAACACTATCGGTGTACTAGACCAGACTAGACATTTGCAGTGCCATGGTTTATAACTTTGTTAAATTTCTTCTGATTTTAAATTTTAAGTAAAATTTTATTATTTTTATTAATCATGAATTGCAAAAAGGCAAATGAAAAGCAACAGAAAACTAAAAAAAATTACTAGAATTACAATGAAAAAAAGTGTGTGTTGAGAAATATGAAGGTGGCATGCATGTTTGAGATTTAACTGTTGCATACCGTATTCCAAGAACGACAATATCGACAATCGTGAAAAATAAAGACATTATTAAATCTGCTAATGTTGCAAAAGGAGTTAAATCAAT